AGTAATTTTCCCTCACTGCTTTTACATAGAGTAGCTTTATGTCCATTATCTAATTTAGGTGCATAGTCTAGTGAAAACTCCAGTGGTGTCCATACTAGACATGGGGGTTGAATCTCTTTGGTCAGTAAAAGCATTACACCAGCATGCCCTATGGAATTCTAAGGCTTTCAGCACTGAGTATTATTCAAAGGTGACCACTTCCACTCCTTGAAAATGCTAATCCCTGCCCAGTTCTTTCAAAGAATACTCCTGTGCACTTGAGAAGATGCGGCCATCAGCTTTACAACACCGTGGTGTTGTTCACCACCTTGCAAATAGTGAGAGCTGGGACATAAGCCATTTTACTGTTGGCTCCTGGTAGATGTCTCTAGTAATTGGCCAGGTGATTTAGGGACAATTCTCACATATCTCAGTTTCTCTCTTTGCTGTATAAGGTGCTCAGGAGTCTAACTCTGCACTAGGGAATTCATGGTGGGGAGATACCCAAAAGATAGGTATTGTGGCACTTCTTACTTAAAATTTGAGGTGGCATAATTTAAGGGTTTCTCTAGATCTTTGGATTTGAAGCGTGTTTGTCAGAATAACTTACCCCTGAACATTGGGGTTTGGTTTTGATTGGGTTTGGTTGGGGTTTTTTTCGCTTCCTCCAAATGAAGTAGATTGATTTCTACTGGACTACATGCTGTACCCTCCCATTCTGGCTGTGGCATGATTCCAAGAATATTCTATGATTCTATAATATTTGGATAACAAACACCAGTATTTTAGGGTTTTTAAAGATAAATCATAGAATCTTAGAATAGTTAGGGTTGGAAAGGACCTTAAGATCATCCAGTTCCAACCCCCCTGGCATGGGCAGGGACACCTCACATTAAGGCATGTCACCCAAGGCTCTGTCCAACCTGGCCTTGAACACCACCAGAAATGAAGCATTCACAACTTCCCTGGGCAACCCATTCCAGAGCCTCACCACCCTTACAGTAAAGAACTTCCTCCTTATATCCAATCTAAACTTCCCCTGTTTAAGTTTTAACCTGTTACCGCTTGTTCTATCACTGCAATCCCTAATGAAGAGTCCCTCTCTAGCATCCTTATTGGATAAACCTTAGACTAACATTAGGTGTTAAAAATGATACTAAGAAAATTGTATGGAAAATCTTGAGTATCTTAATATAACACAATGGGAGTTCTGTGGTTGTGAAGTATGAGGGATTCTTCAGCTTCCCTCTGTGTCACAGACTTGTGAACAGACTCATTGCAAACCTCACCAGTGTGATCAGCATGAATCCTGTATTTGTGGCATGACCTAATTTGCAGCTAATCAAGTTACTAAAATATGATGCTTCTGGTGACAAATGGTGCAAGTTCACCCCACATCTCCCATAGCAGAGATGTTTCTGGCAGAGAAGCCTGATTTCCATATGCTCCCTAGAAACTTACTTCCTTTGTCCACTTTTGATTCATCAAAGCTGCTTTACAGTATCAGTATCCTATTATGAAATAATAGTTTTTATGGGCACTCTCAAAGTTTCTGGCCTAAAAACATGGAACCATAGAACAGTTTGTGTGGAAGGGACCTTAAAGCTCACCCAGTTCCAAACCCCTGCCACGGGCAGGGACACCTTCCACTAGAGCAGCTTGCTCCAAGCTCCTGTGTCCAGCCTGGCCTTGAACACTGCCAGGGATGGGGCAGCCACAGCTTCTCTGGGCACCCTGTGCCAGCGCCTCAGCACCCCCACAGGGAAGAACTTCCTAATGTTACCAGTAATGGCAAATTTAATTGTGCTGTTTGTAATAACATGTAAAACTACCATATGAAAGGAAGCTCCTTAAAAATCTGTTGTTTTAGGCAAAGTCACCCTAAATATTTCATTTTGTTAAGACTCTTTAATGCCATGTAAAACTCAAAGCCTTATGACACAAAATACTAACTGCCATGATCTCTACTTCAGTCTCTAATTCAATCTGCTAGTTCAAATGTTCAAAGGCTGGCTCAAGAATTTGGAAGGAGTAAATTAATTCTGGCACACTTATAGCTATGTCAGATATCATCTGTCTTCTGATTCTATCAGATCCAGCTGGGCGGTCCCCTGGAAACCAGGCTAAAGCCAGCTTGAACACCAGTTTGAGTGCTTGGACTCAATAAATTAGAGATTTTATTATGTGCGCATAATCTATTAGAAATAAATGAAAGATTTGGCATGTTTTTCCAAGCCTATCTACTCAGGACAAGACTAGGCCACTCATATCTCTGCTGAAGGTGACCCCAAGCATCTTTTTCCCCCAAATGCTCTATAATGACTATACCACGTCACGCAAAAGTCAGCTTGCCTGCTCTGCAGCAATGGATGCCTACAGAAGAATAAAGAAAAATGAATGATGCTTCTGCAGAATACTCTTTCATTCTTTAGCAATTGATGCTTCAGGATCTTCCTCAGTCAGAGGTATTACCTTTGCATTTAATAGTATTTGATGCTCTGTACCTCTTGAAAATTTCTAGCATCCCTAAGAATGTCCACTGCTTAACTGTATGTGTAAAGAACTGCCTAGCTCTATGCTGTTAATACAGGGTCATTTCCTGGTTCTTTGCTCTAATTCATAGTCCTAACTCTCAGAGCTTGAGCATTTTCAAGGTCTCAGCAGGAACCTGCACCCAGCTGATGCTTCACATGGTAGCTTACCTCAGCAGCCAGAGCTGCTATCAAATGGCAACACAGCAATATTCAGTTTTCCCATTTTCGGAACAGCACAAACTCTGTTTCTGCAGACTTGCTCATGTAAGTCAGCAGAAGATGAGTCATCTGGAAACAAATGACTAATCATCTGTCCCCTAGGAGCCATATAGTAAGTTAATTATTGTACAACACATTCTAATACAAAATACATGAGTGGTTTCAACTTCTTGAGGTTGCAAAGGGCAAAAGAGCTTCTCAAAGTTTCCATCAGTTATGGTCTGGGAATGCTGGGTTTCCCTTGACTCCCTATCTATTGCATAATCAGAAACACATTCCATTCCCTTTCATGTATGAGACAAAGCTAAAGAAATGTGTTATTACTTTGCAAAAATAAGGAGGAGATACCTAATCAGCTTATGTCATGGATGCAGTGTTTATAAAGACAACTGCTCTGGGGCAGTTCCTCAGCTGACGAAAACTATTACAGCTTGCATGAGTTGAAATAATCCTCTTCTGAACCTGCAAATATGCCATCAGTACTGCATGGGAAGTCAAAATATAGGCATATGGTGTGCCATATGAATTTTAGGGAGCATTGTGTTAAAACCTGCTTACCTGGACTTCACCTGTCAGTGTACTGGACTTGAATCCGATCATTGCTGTGTTGTAGTTATTCTTACTCAGTCATCACAGCTTTACTGGGCTAGTGTGGGGTTGGTTTCTCAGCAGAAGATAATCTTATCAGTGCATAGAGGGGAAAATCTGAAAACAGTGCAAATTTCTTCAGCATCTGAAATATTTCAGTTGAGAATCAGAAACAAATACATTCATATGTTAACAAGCAGCAAAGGAGAAAGACTTTTTTCCAGTAGTTGTGGCACATTGTTTTGGAACCTTCAGATCCTCATTACAGGAAGGAAAGACTGGTATTAAAGGTGCTGATTTAAAATTGCTAATTTTAACTCACAGTTTTAGGCATGGCTCTGGCAAGAGATCTGAGTTCCTGAACACTCATTTGGCAGACCTACACAATGACCCTTCTCTTCTTTCTTGGAATGATTACATGCAAAATATAGATTCTATTCAGTTTTCTATTTATAAAAACTTCTATAAATAGGTCAGATACCTGGAAGTGCACTCATTGATCTGTCATATAGGCAAGTGCCAACCAGGTATTTGGAAAACAAATAAGCAGGCCAAACTGATCAACAAGGGAAAGCATGTATACAGCAATGCCGTAATCTGTAAGTATGCCATCTCCTCATCTGAATGCCTTACTTCAGTAATTGAAAAATAAGACCCATTCCATATAGTACTGGACCTCTGTGGTCATTAAGACCACATTAAGACCATGTGAACTTCATCATTTTTTGATCACCATACAAAACATAACTGGCATTGATCCCATCTCCTTTTGAACCTTGCTAAGCATGTGTAGGCAGTGGAGAACCTTCAATAACCTTCAAGACTCTACCCTAAAGGCAAGGAACTTATTTGGAAGCTCCCTCCCAATTTCAGAAGTTGCTCTCTCTGCTTCTGGGATTGATAGAAACATTGAAATCACTTTATTTCAAGAAAGAAAGGGCATTAACCACACTGTACTACATTTTCTTTAAAGACTGATCTTACTGTGGTTATGGCAATTGAACATACAGTCAAATTTAAGTGTGTCTGTCGTGTGCTAAGATGGCTCTGGCAGGTCTGTCAGCCATTACAAGCTGGCTAATGCATCATAATAAAGGTAGCAAAAAACTTCCAATGTGGTAAAGAATCAATGTCAAGTAAGAACAGCTATTTTACCTCTCATTGTATCAAACAATCCTGCCAAGGATGAACATATTGCCAAACAGGTTTTTACTGCTTACAGGCAATGATTTAGGAGCAAAGACTGGAAGACCAACATACATACTTCAGCTTTTCCCTCCAGATATATGATCATACACTTTGGATTTCAAAATGCCATTTCATAATTTCTCAGACTTACAGAATTCTCACCTTCCCTCTCTAGAAACAAAGCTCAATACGACTCCTAATTATAGGCTCAGCTAAGCAAACAAAAGGATTGATTGGAAGTAATTACTTTAGGAGTCTTTTTGCTATGTAGCCTGTGGTATGAACTAAGAATATCATTCTGCCACCCAAGGAAGGCGAAGAACACACTGAACTTTCTTTCAGTATATTTAAGTGATAGACATAAGTGCAAAGGAGGAAGAAAAATGGTAATGCTCACTTATGCATGAAATCTATACTTAGTTTCTGTGACTCTCTGCTAATCATAATAAATTACTATTAATGAACTGAATATGTCAATCAAAATACTAATTTACTGAAGATTCTGTACTATTTCTTTTCCAGGAATCCCTCCAAATTTGGCAACCTTGTAATCACAGTGACTTCAGCTGCCCCATCTGTCTTCAGACAGCTACTCTCCCAGTAGAAACCAACTGTGGACATCTATTCTGTGGTAAGTTTCCTGGACCGATGGTGCAGTGCTCAACCGGGCTACAAAATCAGGCAGTTCTTACAGAAATCTCATGTCCTACTAAGAACCAGGACCAAGCCATTCTCCCTGGAACTAATAATGTAAGTGCTCTCATTAGAAGCAGGAGAAGTCCCATTTTTACACAGAATCACAGAATGGTTTGGGTTGGAAAGAACCTTAAGATCATCCAGTTCCAACCCCCTGCCATGGACAGGGACAACTCACATTAGACCATGTTACCCAAGGCCCCATCCATCCTGGCCTTGAACACTACCAGGGATGGAGCATTCACCACTTCTTTGTGCAACCTCTTCCTGTGCCTCACCACCCTCACAGTAAAGAACTTCTTCCTTGTACCCTACCTGAACAGGATACTGTTAAATTACAACACAAACTCATGGAATGGGTAAAACGCACCACAAAATCACACAATTTGTACTCAGCTATACAAAACCGCCAAACAAACAAATTAAAAACACCACAGTTAGAAAACTCAACAGTCTAATAATCACACACTGTATAACTGAGATAGATAGGTCAAGATGTAACAAAGTCTTACCTCCAAGCATGAACTCACTTCTGGGAAGACAGCTTGTCTTTTTAATCAACAGCCTAAAAATCTAGCTAGCCCATAAAATTAATTCTGATTGTGTTTATTGGTGAAAATTGATGTGCTAGGCTTAGGTCTGATTCTGTTCCAAACTTGCTTCCCGCGAGAAACAATTGTGTAAAATAAAGGAATGGTCTAGAGCAATGTGGCATCATTACACTGGCTTGTGGTCCTGTAAAAGCTTTCTAAACATAATGAAAAATAGTGGAAGTTACATATTAAACAATTCAAAAAGTGAGTTTCTAGTCATGTATAAAACAACTTTTAACTTTTTAATTGATTTTTAAGTAATCTTAAAATCTCATGACCATATTATGTAAATGTGGGTTCAAAGACATCTCATCACGATGCATGCTCAGTAACTGGGTATTCCAGCCCAGGATCTGGCTTAACAGAAAACAGACAGATCCAAATTCACAGGGTCCTTCTGCTGAGGCTGCCCACTGCCCTGTCCTTCCCAGTGCATCTCTAGTCACTGGATAATCTAAGTAAACCCAGAATTCTCTAGCTAAATGTGTCTGCTAAATGCTGCCTTTGAGGCTGCTAAACCATATGGTTAGGATTACAAAATTTAAATCATTTTTCAAAGGGAAAGCAAGGATGAAGCATGGAATACTGGAGGGAGTTGTTCATAATTGCATTTATAAAGGGGATTTCAGGATTTTTAAGGCTCACATTCTGCACTGTTAGAGCCAATGCTTTGCTTCTGCTTTGAAAGGCAGCAGGATAAGGCCACCAGCACACTTGGAGTGAACACTGCTCCTCTCATACCTTTGAGATACATCGTCCAGTGAACTTACAGGTGAAGTTTACAACCTTCCTGCCCCAGCTGCTTATCAGGTTCCTTTCTATATCCCCTCATCCTCACAGCAGGGCTGGGATATGATGAGGCTGAAGCTGCCTCAGGAGGTTTTTCAGGGCTATTGTGCAGCACATCAGCAATGTCTGGCAGAAGGGAAGGCAGGCAGCTGGAGGCAGTACTGTCTGATACTGCAAGAGCAAGACACATCAGGAGACACTGCTCAGAATCATAAAGCTTCTTTCTACTGCTCTGGCATTTTACAGAGACTCAGAGCAAGTGCAAATTATAGTTACAAGCGATCTACACTTTTTTTTTAACCATATAAGAATGTTATAAAAAGACATCAGCATAAATGAAAACAAGGGGCTGTGTTGTTGGTGTCTAGTGCAATAAAAGCACATTTTTATCTTTAGGAAGTGTCATTTTTCTCTAGATTGAAATGATGCTCATACAGCCCATCTTCTCATCACCACTGCCACTCTCTCCATCCTCTGAAAACACAACAGATCAGTGCATCACCAACAGCTAGGGACACTATGTAGGGCTCATCTCCCTCGTGAGTGACACCATTTAATATTTGAAGTTGTTTCATGTTTTTATAACACTGTTTTATAACATACAGGAAAAGGATGCTTTGAATGTAACTCACTCCAAGACAAACAGTAAGCATATGGCCTCAAAACATGTTTCAAATAATGTCACAGTAGTACAGTTTCAAGTACAAAGACAAACATTAACAACAAAGATCATAAACTTCCCTCTTTTCTGGCCTGGTTAATTTTCCCTTTTCCATCTGTGAATATGACAAAATGATACAGACTTGATTTTGACTTGATTTTGAGATCTACAGAGGAGAATTGCCATATACAAGCTTGGAATATATTGTTATTGTTAGCTGTGTATACTTAGCCAGGCTTTACTTCCTCAAGTACACCATCACTTATGCTCTCAAGCATCAACTCCAGTGCACTGCATTATATATTAGGACGATGTTTATATAGTAGGAGCGGCCTCTATAACATGTCTGGTTTTCATGTCTTAAACCAATAAAATTTTACATTGGGCTTATCAAAACCATTCTGTGTAGATCTAAGTCTGGTGTGACTGAAGTCAGTAATAAAACTTTTCTTGATGCCCTGTGGACCAGAGCTAAGGCACTGCTGAGCTCTCTTAATAAATTCCACTCTGCTAAAAGTTTTATTTAAAAAATGTGGTCAACCCAAAGCTTTTAAACAAGATTAATGTGGACTTATAAAAAATGTCTGATTTTATTATTAGTAGTAATTCATACAGTTTGTCCTGGAGTTTTCCTTTTCAGCTTCAGTTTGAACCATATGTTCAGGAAGTTCAACTGAAAAGTGATCCTTGAGCAATATTATTTTTTTCTAATTAACAATAACCACAGAGGTATTTTAGAGAAACCTCCAGCCTCCCTCACAAGGCCGTGCAGCAGCCTACATTGAATCGGGATTTTGTCTAGTTTATGAAAAATGCACCAAAGCACAAATAGGTCAACTTCAGAGGAGTCCTTCCCTTCCTGTTCTACTCAGCAGAGGATTCTGCATGCAGCAAATTTTACTTTCAGAAAATCATAGAACCTTAAAATGGTTTGGGTTGGAAGGGACCTTAAAGCTCATCCAGTTCCAACCCCTGCCACATGCAGGGACATCTTCCACTAGAGCAGCTTGCTCCAAACCCTGTCCAACCCCTTGAACACTGCCAGGGATGGGGCAGCCCCAGCTTCTCTGGGCACCCTGTGCCAGTGCCTCAGCACCCTCACAGGAAGAGCTTCTGCCTAAGAGCTCAGCTCAATCTCCCTTCTGCCAGGTTAAAGCCATTCCCCTTGTCCTGTCCCTCCAGGCCCTTGTAAACAGCCCCTCTCCAGATTTCATTTAGGCCCCCTTTAGGTAGTGGAAGACTGTTATAATGTCTTCTGGAAGCAGCCTCTTCTGGAGGCAAAACAAGCCCAGCTCTCTCAGCCTGTGTTCAGAGGGCACAGGGGTCTTTTCTGGAAGCCCTTGAAGAACTATGGGATCTCTCAGCACTGCTATCACTGGGACTGAACACAGGTGCAGCACTACAGCCGTGTGGATGATGACACAGGATCTGGACCCAGCAGGTCAAAGTGGTTCCTGAAATCAGGTGTGATCCTTGTCAAATGCCAATAGTGGAGTGAAAGCTGGAAGCTGCTGCCAGACTTCTTTTATACATACCACACGAGGATTTAGCTATAAACACAGCTACAGGCTCAGCCAACAGCGCTGTATGTGCAAACAAAATACAAGAGTCAGAAAGAAAAGCCCTGCACTCAGATGAAAATGAAAGTTAAAAGCACAAGTCAGAGCAAGGTTTATAAAAAAACATCTTTGGGCCAAATTTAACATCCTCAGTCCTAGTACAGAAGATATAACTGATGGCAGCATGAACAGTTTTACACTTGATTTCAAAAATGGTTTCTCCAGCATTCTCCTTTTCAGTGACAACAGACAAAACAAGTCTGGGTGCAGAAAAACCCTGCACTGAGGGCTCCTAAAGACTTCTTGTTAGGACACGGAGTACAAGAAACTACTTCCTGGATATTCTGAAGAACAAAGAGCATTGTTCAATTCAACAAAACAATTCCATCAAAATGGCAGTGCAGCATTCTGCTTCTGTTCTCACGGGGGTCCTTGTCAAATTTGATCAGTTTCAATGCTGAGAGATTTTTTCCCTGACCTGTCACACTGCACACTGTGCCCGGGAGCTGAAAGTCAAGCTGGGCTGCTTCTGATTAGATGCTATTTATGCTTTGCTGTTTTTGCTGTTATTGCCAGCACTGACATTCACATATGTCAACCTCTGCTGTCAGCCGTACATGCAGTCTAATCGCGCTGTCCTCAGGTTCTGCCCCTTTTGCACACCTGAGACCCCAGCAGGTTGCATCTGGAAATTAGCAGTTGTCTGGGTTAGAGGAATCAAAAAGAATAGAGCAACTCACTTTCAGAGATACGCAGTTCTAGGAGGGTCAGAGCTGAAATGTGATAACAGGGGACAAACAGGCAAAATAGCCCCATGTATGGTACTTCATCACCAAGATGTATCATCATAGAATCATAGAATTCTAGAATGGTTTGGGTTGGAAGAGACCTTAAAGCTCATCCAGTTCCAGCCCCCTGCCACAGACAGGGATACCTTCCACTGGAGCAGCTTGCTCCAAGCCCCTGTGCCCAACCTGGCCTTGAGCACTGCCAGGGATGGGGCAGCCCCAGCTCCTCTGGGCACCCTGTGCCAGCGCCTCAGCACCCTCACAGGGAAGAGCTTCTGCCTAAGAGCTCAGCTCAGTCTCCCCTCGGGCAGGTTCAAGCCATTCCCTTTGTCCTGTCCCTCCAGGCCTTTGTAAAAAGTTCCTCTCCAGATTTCTTGTGCAACAGGGAGGCTGCATTACCAGGCTGTGCCCTGACTGCTTATTTGGGGTAACTGGCCCTCACAGCCATTAAAAACCATATGGCTCTGGAGGAACTCAGTCTCTGCGTACCTGCACTGCTTTTGCCCATCACTGCACTCTGAAGGGTACCTGTGTTCCTGACTGCTTCAAACTGCAATCCAGGGAGCTTTCAGATTAAGACCCTATCCACAGGAGAAAAAAATGAATCAAAGTTTTTCTTGGGATGTCCCTGTATCTTTGCATATACCAGTGTGGAAGAGCTAAGGCTCCATTTTTACGCAGCCACTTTGCAGAGTAAAACCACATATTGAAATTAAGTGTTATGAATTAATTATGAAATGAAAATAAAATTACATTCATTTTCACAATTAGTTGTAGAAAGAGGGTTTATTAATTCTGATAACCTCCTGTAAACATTACATATCCTCAAATATATTTCATGTATCTTGATTTCCTTTTTGTTGGTAGGTTCCTGTCTGATCACCTACTGGAAACACGGTCCCTGGTTAGCAGCAATAACCTGCCCTCTCTGCAGACAAAAGGTAAGACTTACCTCTATCTGCATTATGATACGTACAAAATGACAATCCTTGAGCTCTTAAGATCAACTTTATTTATTCTCTGATTTTCCGTGGCATTTCAAACCCCATTTAGACTTGAATGACCCTGCATTTGACACATGCCCCATCAGGCAACTCTAAAATATTAAACAGACCTCCAGCATTTTACTTCTGTATATTTTGTTGAGTCTCTGGGATAACATACCAGAAAAAGCAATATGGAAGTTCCCAATCTCGTGTGACCCTGGTCAGAGCCTGCCTGTTGTACTGGAAGGTTGGATGCAGGCTGCAAATGGAAAATGTTCTTGCTATTGTGGAACTGACAGAGCTGGACAAAAATCCAGTTGTGAAAGAGAGACTCTGGAGACATCAGCACTACAGAACATTGTCCTTTATACTGGATATTCACATACACTGTGCTAATGCTGACCTTTTTCTTATGAAGGTGGTTCTTCTGGATAGCATCTCTTGTGAAAAGAAACATGATAAGCCAAGTAAACAAATTGTACATGACATCAGAGATTACAACAAGCGTTTCTCAGGGCAACCTCGACCTGTAAGTATTTATAAATCTACTTTGTCTATTTATAAGTCTACTATAAATTTACTTTGTCAGTACTGCATAACACGTAGAGGATTGAAAGAAACCTAGCAATGAAAACTAGTTTGTATCATGATGTGAATTACCTTTTTTGCACGTATTGGCAATGCCATAGTGGAAGTGTTACCATCCACTGCTGGGTCCAGCACCTTCTAGTGAATATGCTTCTTGGAGTTCCTAGCTCAGAGGAATCCTCCTCCGATTGTCCTGGCAGAGAGGAGAAAGCCGTGTAGGATGACATACAGGAAGCAAAGCAGAACTAGAGATGGTCAGGCTGGAACTTTCAAATATGAACTCAGATTTGAACTCCAGGATTTTAATTTGCCTCTAAAATTTCAAATCAGATTCCAGCTTAGAAAGCTGCTGGGTTTTTTTCCCAAGGTATTTCCAAATTCAAATAGCCCACACTGGCTCTGCACTTGCTTAAAGCTGGAATCCCAGCTGGTACAGAGATGTGATAGGCAGTGGAAATGAAGTGAAAGATGAGGGTGGAAGTCACAAGTGAGGGTGTAAAATATCATCAAAACAAATCTTCCTGAAAGATCACGGGGCCTGAAAGGGCTGTGGAGTCTGTTTCAATCTACAGACTAAAGTAAGCACTGTGGATAGGAGTATTATCTTTCAACCCAACAAACTAACATTAATGAGGAATAATCACTCAGTCCTATAGTTCCTGCCCATACCAAGGCAAGACTTGAGGTCTCATTTTCAAGCACTCATAGCCTGCACTTGATGCCAGATTTTAAATACAGGCATATACTCAGCACAGGAATTAAGACCCAGTTTCCAAACAGGTTCAGTGTCAAGCACAATACTTTCTTGTGGGGGCAGTGGGGATTCCTCTCAGAAACGGGGCAGAGTAATCAAACAGCATAGGGAGATTTGGACAGCACAGAAAGCTTCTGTGTTCAAGAGACCTTTAAAAGTGCTTGAGAGAGACACTGAACTGAAAGACCTGCATGCATCAGAATGCAAATTAATGTAATTAATCTGAATATTTAGTTTGCAGATTACCTTTATGACATGCCCTTATTCCTGACTCTTGCCTTGCGAGGAATCTTCACCTGGGGTGTTCTGGTTTGGCTTTTTTTCCTGCGAGTTGCTGTTTGCTCCTTTGGAACTATCATATGCTTGTCTTCCCCATTTGACATGAAGCCTGGGCCTCTCTGTAGGACACTTGGAACCGCTGATGACATGGTGGTTGTTTCCCTTCTTTTAATTTGCATGATAAACATATGTCAGCAAATTGCACCTAATGGGGTGAGTATGGCGAGGTCTGCAGCTCAGAGCATGCTGTCAGAGGCCTGACTGACTCAAACTTGGATTCCTTGATCAAAGTTCACCAAGCAGTGACAGGTTTCTGATTTGGGGCAGAAGATGATAGATTTGTCATTCTGCCTCTGACAAAGGCTGAAGCAGGACTCAGCAATACTTGGCATGGCAATGCGCAAGCACTTAGAAAACAAGTTTTCCTCTGGATACTTGCTGAACTCTTTCATGCTAATTTTTCTTTAACTTACCTTCATACAAAGTGCCTGAGTTGAAAATGCCTAAAGCTACGAACAAAGCTTAAAATTACAGTGCCAAACAACTTGCAGTTGAAGAGTTTTAGAACTCTTGAGCTTTAACATTTTACATCTTGGCTCCATTCGAATAAAATCTTAATTTGAATATTTAGCAAACTGTGTAATTTGCTAATAAGGCTTGTATAACACAAGGAATGTTAGATAGTATCACTACAGAATCTTGTATTAGTGCTCTGTGTTATCACAGGTGATCACACATCCACAGGGATACAGATTTCTTACAGCTCTGCAATGAGAATAGCCCTGATTTTAAAATGGATAATACGGAACAGGTATTAACACTGGCTTGGAACACAAATGCATCTATGAAGTAGAGGTATTACAAGGGGAGAAAAGCATTAAAAAGTCATGCAAGGAATGTGAACAAATCTCTTTTTCATATAAGCCTATGCAAGGTACATCGCTTCCTTTTGAACTCTGTACCTCTGAGCTTCAACAACATCAGCATGACCACTTGTTTCCTTTCTAGACTTCATACACTCCTTGTGATTGCCTTGTAAGTCTTATGCCAGTTCAGCCAGAGAGGTCAAGGCTGATCTGATGATGATTCTATGATATAAATAGGAGGAAGGTTATGGAAAGGTTGCTGAAGTTGGAGGGTGTGTGTGTGTGCATGTCTGTGTGTGTTGAGCTGCAGAGTTAAAAAGGTTGGTGCAGTGCCAGCCCCCCTACACATCTGTCCCTGTACAATCTGTACATTTGCTATGTGTTTGGAGTCAGTGAACTTTGTTTTATGTATGAATTGTATATTAAAATAAATGCATTAAAATTTATGAATATTTATTGTTCACAATACACTGGTCTCCAACTGCTTGCTCCTTCTCTGTAGTTTCAGCTGACATGTTTCACTGTGCTTTTGACTTGTAAGCTATGATACACCATTATGTTGCAGTCGTTTTCTTGCTTGTTATACCCTTTTTGTTATGATGTTTCTTAATTTTATTCCCATCAACTTTCATTGTCTTTAATTATGTCCCTGAACTTGTAAAGCTGTTTCTTTTAACAATGGGTACTTTGGAAATGGCAACAATTGCTTTTCCACGAACTACAAGGCAGGAAGTGCATTGTTTCTTTAAAAAAATTACCAGATGTTTTTGAGTGCTGACTACCAACATAAAAAAAGCAACCCCGAAACTTATTTTCCAAGTTCTCTAAGTGTAGTTTTGTTATTGTGTAACTTCTGTTTGTATTTAACTGGGAATTACAGCCTATGCCAATACTACAGAATGGAATTTCTATCAAGCTGAGTGCATGAAGCTGGAGCCCATCTACAGGAATACTGACTCTGTGGAAACGGACCATAGGTTGTTTCTCTTGCACAATGCAGGCTCACCAAGAGGGTGGCAATTTGAAGAAAGGAAGGGTTCTCCTGAGTGACCTATAGCATAGTTGTTGATCTGAACATGCTCTTCTGTTCTGTCCCCCCTTGCTTCTTAACCTTCTCCTTCAGCTGGGGATCCTGGCTTTGCTTTTCAAACAGAATAGGATCTGTTATTAAGAAGCTACAGACAAATGGCAGAGAGAAAAAGAATTTCTGAGAGCACTTCACCAATGGCACTGGCAGTGTTTGGCTCTTGCAAGATCAAAACAGTTTGTACTGTCAAAGGTGAAACATTTTTTCTGTATACAACCAGAGTATCCAGACTCTCCTTCCACAGCACAGTTAACTATCCAGGGCCACCTTCAAAACCACTTGGGAACAAATAAAAACCTTTTTGTTGACTGGATTTGGCCAGCAGGCAGCCAGGAAGGTTTCTGAGCACTGACAATTGCAAACCAAAGGAAGAAAACCCCTTTCTCTCTCCCTCTGCATTCCCTGTACCTCCTGTGTCCAGCTCAGAGCTGGTGACCGGGTCTGGCTGGAGCAACGTGTTGAGGACGGACAGGGAGAGCTGTGCTGTTTCATGGCTGACTCCTGCAAGGCAGGTGGCACGATGGCAGGAATGCATCTACATTGGGAACATACTTTCAGCAACTGTGTCCACTTAACCTCATCTTTCAGTGTCAGCAATGGGCTGTTTGACATCAGCACAGCGAACACTGCACACAGAGGGCGAGGGACTCACAAAAGACATGATGGCACCAAGTACTGACAGCAAAAGGACTGTGCTGTAAGAATGGAGACAGAAAAAAAGAGAGCAGGGAACTGAAAAAACCCAGAGAGAGCAAGAGTGCACAGCTGCAAAAGTGATTCTCAAATATCAGCCGCCGAAGAAGTAAAAATTACAAAACCAAACAGAGCTTTCCAATGGAATTCGTGTTCAGGTCTGAGCTGGAGCAGACAGTGAAATTAAAAGGACCGTGTGTGGTGCCAGGTGTAGTTACCTCTGAAAAACATGGCAAAGGGCAGCGATTTGAGTCCATCCAAATCAGTTATGGTGTTCCTTGTGCTGTTCCTGCTTGTGGCCAGTCTGAATACAGCACTGGGGTGCCCGCAGCTGGTTGTCTGGTCTCCTCTGACTGGGGCAAATGAATATTCCTTGTCCTGAAGTGCAGAGGTTATTGACAGAAAACACCAGTGCTTCACAGCCAGTGAATGCATTTTATTTCTCATTCCAAGTTAAAATGTGCACTTTAAATGATAAAAGTGTATTTTTGACATGGACGGTACAGTGAGAAGACATTACCCTCATCACAAATAGCTGGAGATTCGCTCTGCCTGCTGTTCCCGGTTTATATGACTCCAGATCAGAAGCTGTTCATGATGGAGCGATACTCTCTCTGATGCTCCACCAGTCTCAAAAATACTTCATATTTCTTGTCGTAAAATCTGTAGAAGAAAGTTAATTTCAACAGAGCCCGAGGTTTTAAGTTTTAAAACCCCTGTATTATACATATTTACGTCCATCGCGTAGCATCAAAGCAGCTTTGACGCTTTCAAAATTACAACTTTTACTGGGATCAGAGTCTTACCAAAGTGCAGCATCCACCCAAACGAGTGATTGGGAGTTATAATTACACCTTTCTTTCACCCCAAAGCCATCTTTGATTTCCAGGCACTTTTTACCTCCAGCGCCCTCCGCTGTGGGAGCAGGGGAACAGTGCGACCTCGCTGCTCTCCTGCCCGTTTACATCGCCCGGAGAGCCCCGGGGCTCACGGGCCCCATCCTTCCGCCCCCCCCATCCCCGCTTGCTGGAGCGCCCATTGCTGTCGGAGCCCGCTCCCCAGGGCCGCCCGCCGCCGCCAGAGGGTGCCCGCGCCCCACCGTGTGCAGCCGTGGGCGCAGCGGCCCCGCAGCGCCTAGGACACCGGGCACTGGGACCCGAGTCCTCCAGGACTCCTGCAGTCCCTCGGAGGGGCAGGGGTGAAGCTGCGCAAAGCTCCAAGTGCCGCCGGGGCCCGCAGTCGCAGCCGCTCAAAGCTCCCGCCGCCCCGGCACCGCTCCTCGCATCCCTGCAGTTGCGGGCTGCAGCTCGCTTGCTCAGGAAAGCCGTGGCGGGCAGAGACTTAGGGGCAGCCCAGAGCCCACTGATAGCAAATTACAGCCTTCACCTGGGTGCAAGCGTGGTAATCTGTGGGACTACAAGGAATCTGGAGCAGGACTTTTCCCAGGGGCATATGGGGACAGGACAAGGGGGAAAGGGTTTAAACTGACAGAGGAGAGAATGAAATGAGACATTAGGCAGAAGCTCTTCCCTGTGAGGGTGTTGAGGCGCTGGCACAGGGTGCCCAGAGAAGCTGGGGCTGCCCCATCCCTGGCAGTGCTCAAGGCCAGGTTGGACACAGGGGCTTGGAGCAAGCTGCTCCAGTGGAAGGTGCCCCTGCCTGTGTCAGGGGGTTGGAATTGGATGAGCTTTAAGGTCCTTTTCAACCCAAACCAGTCAGATTCCATGGTAATCCTTCAAAAATGGGGGTGATAACTACTACTGCATCCAGTCAGGGCTATAAAGAGACAGGCCTTAACTTCACACGCCATAAATCCTCACAGAGGACCCCACAAAAGTCAGGATTACCTTTTATGCTCATGGTTGGGCTGCACAACTCTCCCAACTTTCCCCATTTTCGCCATGGCCTCCTAGTAAAAGACAAACATAAAGTGGTAAAGCCTGGTTTGATTTAAAATACTTTTTGACAAGAACAAGATGTTTCAAAACCAATCAGAACATTACTGATGTATTTTGTTTCGGCTGAACAGGCCAGATGGCATAAAATATGTTCAATCCCATTATATAGTAGTCATGAGAACAAAGTACTGCAGACCCCTCAGTAAACCAAAATCTGTTTCTCTTTCTTACTGGGAGTCCGATGCAGAACAGACTTATCTTTTGTTATTTACACAAACCAAAGGAAATGTTTGACAACGCATCCCCGGAGGGAAGATTTCTCAAATAAAATGATACTGTACATGAGATCCCTTGATCATATTCATGAAGTATCAATTCCCTGCAGCCAGAGAGGCTCAGATGCGCTCCAGAGGCTAAAGCTGATTTGCAAAGTTCTGTTATGGAGCCCACAGCTACCCTCACATTCCAGTATAAAAGGTGTAGGAGACTGACTTTGATCCTACTCTGCTTTTGGCCAAAGCCAAGTCAGACAAAGGGATGCAGCAGAATTCCCTGCAGAAGGAGTCTCTGGGATAGATTCACATGTGGAAGGGAGAGGATGGAATTATTTAGTTCCTTTCCTGATCCCTGTGAGGTTCTGATTTTCTGTACATTCTCCTGAGCAATCCCGCTGGAATGAAACAAGAAGCATTAAAGCAATACCTTTCAGATGGAACAGGGCTAAACATAAAAGATCAGGATTCAACCAGTGTCTGACTAAATCTCAGTCTATGTCATTTCTATGCAGCACCCTAAATCTATTTCCATGTTCCTGCCCAAAGCACAGCACTGGGAGCATACTGGAATGAACCTAGAGATCAGTCAGCCTGCGCTGCTGCTGGAAGCCACCTAATCAACTTCTATGGCTAGATCTCTAAAAGGGTTGGATGATTTTATAGGCTGGAATACCTGCTGTAGTAAAATCTTTGCTTGCCACTAATCCAGCATTTTACAGCTGAGGATCCAGAACTTTACAGCATTGCTGAGCAATGTAAGTGCAGTTCTACCAGCCCAGGAGGCTCTGAGGATAAACAAGGTGACCAGCAGACCTTACATCTTCTGGTTTCCCATTTCCCCTGTGTTAAAGAAGCAAGATCATGACCTAAATGCCAGGAGGTAAGAGGGCTCCCATGAAGCCAGCCACTTCTCCTATGCACAGCCATGTCTACTCAGGCAGGGATGTCACCCATGTACCAGAGCAGCAGGCAGCCCCAGCTCTGCCTGCCTGAACCTGCAGTGCTACCCGCGTGTTCTGGGTGCATTTGCCTTATCCTTCAGCATCAACACATCTTATACTGCCAGTCCACATGTGCAACTAGAATGTGGAACACTTTTTAAATGTGGAGCAAATACTTTTCACATGTGGAACACCTACTTTCTACATTTGTCAGCTTCAGGGGTTAATTCTGGATGAAATCATGGCTCCACCAAAGCAAAAAGGACTGCCAGTGATGGTGCAGTCAGGGTTTTACTCTGCCAGGCCTTCCAGTAAAACAGCAGGGAGCATTTCTGTGCACTCCTATGCCCATACTCTTTTGTATGTGCAGAAGTTGCTTGTACTTTGATTCCCTGAGAAACACCCTTGAAATAACACTTCCAGCGAGATAGGGTGTTCTTTTCTCCGGGGCATGTGAGCCTGCTGGCACCAAGACTCTGCACACCAGCCAGATTAAAGTACTGGCATGGAAAGGTTGATATCTTTCCCAGTAAGTGTAATGGGCATTTTATTCCCTGTTCTTTAACAGGGGACACTAGCTCAAGCATTGTTCCTGCTTACAATAGCCCATCTTTTACTTATCCTTTACAAGGCCAGCTGGATTTAGAGGCTACCCAAAAAAATGAATGAATACACAGAAAAAACCCAACTCAAAGACAATTCCTTCTGTTGCAATCAATACTGCTTTTCCAGATAGTGTTGCCTCTTAAAGAAGGCTTACGGCAGAGCCCCTTGAAGCCCTCTCACTAATGGAAAGAGTCACTTTGCTTTCTGCTCTCTGCTTTATATCCCCGTTTCAATTGCCCTGGAGATACTGCATGCAAATAAAACCAAGACATCTAAAGAGTCTCAGACAGATCCAGGTTTCCCCACATGTACAAAGAAACATGAAAGGGAGGAACAGACTTTGCCATTCACTCCTCCGTGCACATGCAGGACTGGCTGCTGCTGCCCTGTTTGGGCAGCACTAAGAGGACAGGACACAAACAGCACCGTTCTCAGGACATGTTCTGCTTCTGCCACAAGTGCTCGACACACTCATGTTCTGCTTTACTGTGGGGCCTCTCACCACTTCCAGTGCTGACAAACGCATTACTGCCTCTTTGGGAGATCAGCCAGCCTTTTGAGATAAGCCTATCTTCAGACGGGTTTTATTTTTATCCTGTTATTCATCTAACTCCAGGTCTCCTCAGGCTGGTTCGAGAGAGAACAGACCCCAGTGCCGAGGCCACCAGATGTGGAAGGTGTGAGGGCAGCCTGGCTCAGCTCTGCCATCCCGCCAACCGCTGCAGCCCCAACCCTGGCTCAGGGTCCTGCCTGCACATCCCCTTGCTCTCCACTTCTCCAACCACCTTGCTGGTGCTCCACACCACACAGGGCACATGTGACACACCAGCTTCCAGACCTAGTGCCTTGCAGCAGTACTGTTCAAAGGGTGAAGTCAGGTCTCCACAAGGTTGATGAAAGCCTCCTATGCTCCCTGTGAGATCTCCCCAAACCCAAAACCTCTGGCACAGAGATCTTATTTCCCTGCTGGGCAGCTGCCACTGCTCCCATGGGATCAGGAGCAGGAAAGGTAGAGAGATCCCTAAAGGAAAACTGCTCCCTCAAGGCCTCATCCAGACTAGGAAACCGGGCCTGGCTGCTGCTATCTTCTGCTGGCCTACCCATCTATCCACCTTGAGCTAAGGAAGCAGATGCCAAAGCAATCTTTCCAGTTTATCAGCTAAAAACATTCTTGTATCTTTAAATCCACTTGAAAATACATAGGCTTTTGAGGATCCAGAGCATTAATGTCTCACAGCAACCACCATGGCAATGTGGAATAACATGTGAAGAAAATACCCAGCCAGCAATTTTCAACAACTCACTCATTCTAGGTTGCTCCAAATGCCCTAAATGAATTCCCTCTCTTAATTTGCTTTTCAGCTCTGTGTTTTTGTGTTGTTTAAAGTCAGTTTGGTCATTGTTAGCTTGAACAAAAACTTTACTCCCGGAGGAGAGTCTTTTCAACAATTTTCTGGGGACAAAGAGGAACAGAACATTGAAAATATGAATTTATAATGAAACAGGAAACAAAGGAACATTAGAATCACAGAACTGAATCAGATCAACCTTGTGCGCTGTTCTCTCTCCAACAAAGCCTTAAATATAGCAAAGTGATAATACTGCTGTTCAGAAATAGTTTGTTTGAGGGTTGACATCCAAATCCATAATTCCAGTCCCCAAGAATTTCACAATCTTAATTTGAATGACGCTCTATCATCTTCTTTGTTTGCCAGTCTAGACTGTACAATGAATACAGTGACTTAAACACAATGAATTCTCTCTTAAAACAAAATATTTTGTAAAATTGCTTTTTAATCATTTCTTTTCTCTCTTTCCATAAAGGCTACGCTATAAATAAACCCTGAAAGTTCGCATTTGATCATCGTTTCTAAAGGCTGGGCAAGAGGCAAGTGAAGGGTTTACACAGAAGAAAAGAGAGGCACTGTGGAGCAGAAATAAAGGGATGCATTCATGATTTCTAACCTTTTGTTAGAGTGTCAAAGCTCAGACAGATACAAGCCAGTAAACACTCCGCTTACCATGGAGAGAGTCAGTCAAACGGGGTTACCCTGACCGGGACAAGGAACCCAGGCCCAGGGAACCAAATTCTCCAGGACCCACCAGGATTGCAGAACAAGGTGCCATTTTGCTGCTGGAAGGGTGACCCAGCTGGGGAGGTGAGTAGCCATTCCAGTTCACTTGGTGCTGGTGCCTGAGTTCTACTCTTCAGTATGATCTGGGGCAGGGGATACATTTAAGACACCAGGGCAGCTTCAAAGACAGTAGATGTCCCAGAGGAAACCCTATCTGGAACTCAGAGAAAAACCTGTCTCCTAGGAAGATCCTACTTTAACACAGCATGTGAAAGCTGGACATTTCAACCATTCTCACTTTAATTATGGAAAAGGTTTTTAACACTGTGTGGCAGCCACCGTGCAGCAAGTTGTTCTTTCACACCAGGAAAAGCATGTCAGCGTGGCATCAGGAGCCCTCAGAAAGTGCTTACAAGGGTTCCTTCCCTTTAGACTGGGAGACCAGTCTTCTCCAATTCCCTACTCAATGGGGTCCTGTAAGATCTGTCTCAGAGCAGTAGCACAATCCTGCTCATTCCACAAGAGAAGCCCATCTCTCTTGCACTACAAGGGGAGCCAAGGAAGATCAGCCCACTTGTGAAGAGTCCTAAGTCTGCTTTTCAGTAGTGACTCCAGGACTTCTGTGGCTGATTATTACTGAAAATTAATGGGATGTAGGTCCTTAAAAGCACACATCAAATAAATCAGATTTAGGGATGTCAGCCTTGGCTAAGGAAGTCAAGTAACAAAATCCCATTGAAATGAATGAGCTGGGAACATCACTTCCCTTAAGAATTTGGGCTTTTGCTTTATTTAGGTACTTCTAAAATTGTATATGAAGTTAAATGGATGAGGCGTTTGAGCATAAATGCAATTTCCCAGCTGTTTTCTCCCCACATAGTATTTTGATAATCCCCCAAAATGTTTGGACTTTTACCTAACAGTTACTAACAGTGAAAACAACCATATATCATCTCAAATTTTACTGTACCATTTCAGCGGCTGAAAGCATTTGGCCTGCACATACAAAAACACCCAGGAAAGCTCACCAGAATGCGTGAGTACATCATGCTCCAGTGACAGCAATGGCTACTTGGAGGAAGGATCCTTGGTCAATAAGAAAACCAAGAGGAAGACTCCAGTGCAAATGAAGTAAGCTTTCTCAGTCAACACCACTGGTTTATAGCTTGTTCAGTGACAGCCACTGCACCAAGAATGACTGGCCTATAAATGATGGGAAGGATGAAAAACAGCTGTGCTGTAAACCAGTTTGGATTGTAACTTACAACTAATTCAGGAGTCTCAGAACAAGCTGGAATGAGATGCTTGGCTTTACTCTTTTTCCTGAGTTGAAGTTGTTAATTCACCTCATCTTACTACTTCTGCAAAAAGAGGAAATTATATTGAGTTTTATTGTGCCAATATAAGCCACATGATCAAATGCTGCTATTCTTATGGCCAAACACAGTAAGAAATCCATACCAGCAAATGTGCTTCTTCACATGTTCCTGAGAATGACATGAGCATATGTGTGCAAGACCAGTCTCAACTTCTGAATGACACAGAGCTCTGAAACACCAATTTCACCTTCATTACCCAGAAAACACTACCCAGGTTCCCATTCAGGCTGGTGCTGACTCTCTAGTGGTTTATACAGCTTTGCTGTCACAGATCCAGCACCGGAAGAAAACTGTGTAAAAGCTGTCCCATTCACAACAGACTGAAATGTGGGAACATTCATCCCCACCAGATTGGTTCTGATTTGCAGAACTCAGCAGGTGGAAGTACCTTCAA